TCCTTGGGATGAAAGGAGTTATCACTCTAAGATATTCACTTACTAATTTTCATTCGATACTCATGGTATATCAGACATTATAGATCTTTCACCATTTTGCTTTATGACACTGCAGAACTCTGATAACTATGCTCTGTGTGAAATGTAATTCCCTGGTTTACCTGCCTGCTTGGATTGAACTGTGGAATCTTAATTTGCTGCCATGGTTTCCATAATCCTTTGCTCATGTCATATTGTTGTTACAATGAACAAATCGCTCCTACAGTATAGCTTTCATCTTCTTAAGGCAGAGTACAGACCCTTTCATCCTTGCAAAGTGAATAATTAAACTAGGATTTTAATATTTGTGTTTGCTTTTGGGTTTATTAGCTCTAACTGTGAAAACTAAATCAATTATTTTGTATGCTCCATCTGACTAGCACTTGAAAAAATGGACCAGAGTTTTCCATATATCTGTTCTGTGGCTTTAAGCCACAGAACAGCACTGTTGTAGAAACGGACTGTACTCTGCCAGTTGGATAGGTGGCATTTTTACCATGGCCAGCTTGAGGTTTGCATAAGTACCACAAATGTGATGCAAAACTAGGAAAGCTGATTGTCACTGGTAAGGTCCTATGGTATAATGTAATTCTTCTATTGTACCTGCCCTGCCTGAATTTTTTGTTTGTTTGTTTCTGTAGACTGCAGAGGAAGGAGCCTCTACAAGCATCTATGCAGCAGTGTCACCCGAGATGGAAGGAGCTGGCGGCTGCTACCTTTACAATGAGGAAAGGACAAAATCAGCTGACGTTGCGTATGATGAGGACCTGCAGAGAAGGCTCTGGACAGAAAGCTGCAAGATGGTTGGGATTTCTGATGAATCCAGCAGAGTTCCCTAGAAGAAGCTGCTTCCAGCTGGGTAAATGAAATGTATTGACAAGCATCTTAGGTGAATTCTTGCAGCATCAGTCATCATCCTGGAAATCACTGTTCAGTCTCAAAGGCAAACAAGAACAGCCCTGTTCTTCACTTGAACCCCTAGTCTGCTAGGGTGTGGGGGGAGTATTCCCACAGAAAGAGGTAGTGGTTGGTTTTAAATCTAACCATCAGTTTTGTAAATCATGATGTTTCAGTCTGTGATTAAAATACAATCTTTAACCTTGTGCAGAGTTGAGTTTTCATTTTTTGTTCAACAAAAAAAAAGACTTTCCCTAGTGAGCGTGTTCTGTCTGTGGCATGTTGAACTTAAGCTACCTGTGTACATATAGCTTACTCTTTTTAATCGGTTTTAAAAGTTGCAGCTTTTTCCTTAAGCTTCATTGATATTTAAGATACTTTATAATGAATGTCAGCTTGGTCTAATGCAGACATTTGGCATTCATGATCATTATGTTGTTTCTATCATAACGTTAGTTTTATACGTCAACTTTTATCCAGAGGTTTTAAGTGAAGGTCAGAACCAAAAAAGATGTAAATAAATATGGTCTTCAGGCAGGATATTGAATTCAGTTGTTTTCTGTTTGAGTTCAGCTCTCCTTTAAAGGCAAGCCCTAAGAACAAGGAAGGGGTCAAACATAATAATGGAGACACCGGATTTGGCAGAGGGTGCAGTCGGTCTGTTGTCTTGGCAGTGGGCTAAGATTACTTGTCCCCTTTTCTCCTGAACCCGTGTAAACTTGCGTCTGCAACTTTTTGCATTTTCTTTGGCAAGGAGATTCACTCATCTACTGCCCACTGCATGAAGAATCACCTCCTTTAGTTGGTTTTGAACCTAGTTCATATGAGTTTCAAAACTAGAGTTCATGGTTTGGAAGAGGCAGCAATCAATTAATGCCAGTCCACTGTTTTTCACATTGCTAAGGGTTTTGGAGACTTCCAACATGTTCCCCTTAAACTGTCTCTTTGCCATGCTGAAGAGTAGTCTCTGCCACTCATCTGAGCACAGCAGCAAAAGGATATTTTCCCTTTGGTTATGTATTTCTTTCCTAAAAATTCCTAACAGCTGTTTTACTTCTAGTTTTATTTGACTGTCTCTAAGTGTGAAGCTGATATTTTTTATGAAACCATTTTTGGTAAACTCTAAGATTTCTCTTCTGAGTCGGATAGTGGTCAGTCCAGATGCCATCAGTTTTGAGCATGCTTCGGTGTGTACAGTTCAGGGAACTCTACCTATGTCTGCCAAAGTGAAGCTTCAAGAATGATGTTCACATTGATGGAGTAAAGAACAAAACAGACATGTGGCAATATAAAGATAGTCAGAGTTCCTACAAGCCCAAATAACTAGAAGAAAAAACTGGATTGAAGATAGTCACAACATTTTAACGGGGAAGGTGATAAACCATGAGAATAATTTACAGACAAACTTCCCCTGGAAGTTTCAGTCAAGATTAGAAGTCTCCTCAAAACACTTAGAAGGCTCCAGGGAAACCTTATAGCAGCCTTCCAGTACTTAAAGGGCACCTACAGGAAAGATGGGGAGGGACTCTTTATCAGGGAGCATAGTGATAGGTTTTAAACTGAAAGAGGGTGGATTTATTTTAGATATTGGGAAGAAATGCTTTACTGTGCAGGTGGTGAGGCACTGGAACAGGTTGCCCAGGGAAGCTGTGGATGCCCCATCCCTGGAAGTGTTCAAGGCCAGGCTGGATGGGGCTTTGAGCAACCTGATCTAGTGGGAGATATCCCTGCCCATGGCAGGGGGGGGTTGGAACGAGATGATCTTTAAGGTCCCTTCCAACCCAAACCATTCTGTGATTCTGTGATCTCTCCTTAGTGAGAGGAACTTTCCAAGCGTGGACTCTGTGACTAGGGAGCCTGAACTCTTGCTGTTAATGGAGTAAGCTCTACCCTACTCCGATCTCATTCATTTTAGGTGCCGTCTGAAAAAGCAGTATAATCCTATAAATGTCCTTGCATTTCCTTTTTTAGGATACACACAGCGAAAGAGACCAATAGGCAGGCATAAATCTTATATTCACTTTGGAGCACTGGAAATCACTGCATGATAGAACTAAGTGCAAACACAGTGTTGTGCTCTCATTTGCAGCAGACTAGAAACAATATGAACGTGTTCCTATGCACTGAACCCTGGACTAATATCCCTTTTGGGCTTTTTAGCTCAAACTTGGTACTTCACTGACCGTATCTCCAGCCTCTGGTTCAGAGAGAGATCACATCTAACTGAAAGAAAGCATACTAATATGTCCAGAGACTAGCAAGGAGATGCAGAGACAAAAAAAATAGTATGAACAAAGAAAAACAGACGAGTACAAAAACAATAAAAATTCTGAAGGAAAGCATATTTCCCCTCTGAGTTAAGCCATGCATGATTTATTCCTAGCTTCTTGGAGTTAGTATATACAAGGGTTAGCAGCAGGAAATTTATCACTCAATCACTATAGCACTTTCTCTGTATGACTGGCTGACTTTTTTTTTTGGTAAGTGAATGTAGTGCTTGTGAAATGTGCCAGACTGACACTCTGGGAACTGAATTCTTCTGTTTATTCACGGGTCATGCACAGGATGCAGTAAGCCTGCTAGACAGCCAACATTTTGATGTTGCCATAGCATTCCCACGGAACATCATTGCTGCTAGAAGTATGTCCAGGATTACTCAAACGAGATGGGACCAAATTATCTTCAGGTTTCACTCTCTTGAAGCTCCACAATATTTGCACAACCACTTTCAAGTGGCATAGGGATTGGTAAAAGAGCAAGCAGTAAAGAGAACTAGTTACTCTTTCAGTGTAATGTGAACCACTATGTTAGTGGTCTCAGTCCAATGAAATCTGTTTTAACAACACTGAAAACATGGTTTGTGAGAACCAAGAACACAGATTGTGCCGGCACGAGGGGAAAAAAAAAGTGTCCTAAAGCCAGGGATTTCTAGAACAGTGCAATGCCATGAAGATGTAGTTGAGCTAGTTGCAAAAGAGTTATCTCAGGAACTAAAAGCAGAAACAACGGTTGGCTCTGCAATGTCACATAAGCTTGTCTTGAGCAAAAGCCAGTGTTGTCATAAAGTGCTGTGTGTCATTGGGAGCACTCACTTGTGATACTGTTGCAAAAATCCAAAATAATCCTTAGCATGTCTATTAGGAAAAAAAAAAAAAAATGAAGCATGTAGAAAGAGGACAATGATTTTACTTCTGCACACAGACATGGTAAGAGCTGATTTATTTTTCACATTTCAAGGACACGGAATTTCTGGAGATCTGAGAAGCCCTTCCTTTCACTTCACCGCAGACATGGCTGAGAGATGGCTCGAGTCCTTGCAGTAGGTGCATACATATAGAAAAAATACCCGAGAGCTTTTTAGCCTTGCGAAGAAAGGCAAAACAAGCTCCAATAATTGTAAATTGAAGTTGACAAATTAACCTTCCAACATGAAAACGGATCCTCTCTCTGTGAGAGTAATTACATATTGGAATATGTAGCTCTGATATCTGAAGATAATGAAAAGATACCTCGGAAAAGATACCTGGCAAGGAGGCTAGGTAGGCTCCTAAGCAAAGCAGGTCAACCACAGTGAAGTCATACTTAGATTCTCCCTCATGTCCAAAGTGACAGCACTTATTTTGATTAGTCTGAGAGTGACCCATCGCTCACAACTTCTAAAATTGATATTGCCATGCCAGTACTCCACCCAGGCTAATGTTTAATTCAAAAAACTAGGTGCCTTTACCAAATCTCACAAAGGCACACAAAATCTACAGTCCAGTTCAACAGAAGCATCTGCCAAGGGGCACCGTGATCAGCAGAAGCATCTACTAAGGGCCACCATGGTGTTATCCTATTGCCCTCAGGGAGTGAAGCCATTTCAAACCAATATTTTATTCTTTTCTTAAAAAGGATTACTTTTCTTTTTCAGCTCCCATGAAAAAGAAGAAATTAATCTTGAAAAAGGACAAAAAAGATGAATGCTCTTTTGAAGGGTAGTTCAAATAACTCTTACAGAACTTACCACAATGAATGTAGTTATCTAGGAATTTGATAAGACGATGTAATTTAAACAATGAACTTGCACAGGAAATAAATAATATACAGGCAGAGAGCCCTAAGTTTCTTAGGAAAAATGTTAACTTTTTCATTAATTAACTAGTTTATTTGTAAACCGTGGGGAAATTAATTATGTGCTGGAAGAATAAGCGCTGTAATTCATGTGTGAATACACTGCTATTCGCACATAATAAAGTAGTTGCATCCTTACTTCCAGTTCAAAATTGATTTTAAGCCCTAAATGTGGAACCTCTAGCCACACTTCTACAATGATATTTTATACATATGTGAACTCGATAGTTTAATTTTTGCACAACTATTGATTACTTTAGTACACAGTGGGAAATGGTGAAGCATAGAAACAAAGGACTTCACTATCTGACATCAGGCTTGCTTCTGCCTCTTCCGAATGCGTGGCAGTGTTAGCCCTAAATATAAGAATACCTGTCAGATATTTAAATCCTGATTCTAAATAAGCTATGCAAGCTTTGCCTCTTGTACAGTTCTTGCCTTAGACTGTCCTTGCTCATTATATGACATGGTTTATGCTCTAGCTGCCACCATGGAGAGACAAAATCAGATTCCAGTCAAGTTAACACGAAATCTGCCACAGATAAGATAATTAACACATGATTTTAAGAGAGTGAAGGCTGAGGACACTGACCGATCTGCAATAGTTGAAGTCGTCAGTGCAAAATGTGACGTGCACAACATCAGGCCAGACAATACAGATAAGCCATTACCATGAACATTTTTTTGGAGGTAATTTTATTCCTTTTTAAAACAAAACCACTGTGTTTCAGCAATCCACGGCGGTTAACGTTGACAGTGCTGTGAGCATTGTCAGGAAGAAAACAGACCAGTGGCCAAGAGTGCTGTTTCCAGATGCATGTAGTTACTGGCTTCTATTCCATACTCATCAACGCTTGTTAGCATCTCTCCCTTTGGAAATGGACCCAAGCCAAGAATTCCTTTCACATAAGCAATCAAGAAGAGTCAAAAAGTAGTAGTGACTGTCATTTATTTAGACAAACACTGTCTAGATTGAAACCAATCACCTTAAAGTGAGACTTCCTAATCCCAGAAAAGAAAAAGAAAAAAAAAGGCTGAAAACCAGGCTATGACACTTTTTGAGTGATATTAAAACTGGTCACCTCTTCACAGA